TTTGTTGTCGGAGTTTGTGAAATTCTACTAGAATAAATTTAAGACGGGAAAGATAACAGATTTTTTTAAAATAATATCTACAATGGCGAGCAAAAGAATGATCCACTTTACCAGAAAAAAACATCAGTTGCTTTAATTTTTACTAGGAAATTTTAAATTCGACAATCTAGTTTTAAATGTGGTCATTCAAGGCTGTAATAACCAAATAAAGAAATACAAACGTTGATTCGTCGTGAAAATAAGGCATGTAAAAGTTATGAATACATAGATCAGCGGTTCCAACCTGTTTTGGTATCTTCGCCCTCTTAAACATGAAATTTTTTTCATCGCTCGCCTGTATTGTAAATATTCAAAAGTATACCAAAATTGTTTGGTAAATGTTTGTTACTAGTTCGTAAACTGACTATATGATGTAATAAAAAATACCAAAAGGCAGGTAACAAATAACGCTGGCTTATGCTGCTGAGGTTATCGTTGCTACTACCACCGTATTAAAGAACAAACGAAAGCACTCTTAATTGGTTTGGTCTGTTTAATGGCATATCAACTGCTTATGGGACGCTTAATGCCGAAATTTAATTTTCTTGTGACCTTTGTTTCTTCCACCTATTAGGAATGTATTTCTGATCATTTTTTATCACTGTCAAAATATATTGCTAGTAATTTTTTTCTGGTGCATTTTTATATTTTCATGTTTTGAACGCAATTTGGGTGTTCATTTTTTGCGCATAGCTGAGAACCTGACAGGTGCTACCCCACCCCCCCGGGTCAGTGTGAACGAACGTGGGAACAACAGCAATTAAGAAGTGGTTCCAAGTTCCACAAAAAACTATTGATCAGAGACTCCCGACTATAGTTTGTCATACCCAGGACGAAGTAAACTTGGCCATTGAAAACTATATATATATATATATATATATATATATATATATATATATATATATATATATATATATTATAATTTACTTTTATGGTTAGGGTTAGCGTTGAATGTGTTGACGAAAACTTAAGCAATTATTGTTCGGAATTATAACATTAAAAAATGTAAGCTACTAGCAACTAATGAAAATTCAGTGAATATTTTTTGCTATGCCTAATACTGGAGAACTATTTAAATGTTAATGTTATAGAAAATAAAATATTCTTTGTTTGCGGGGATATTTATATCTTATCTAGGAATGTGACTCAGTTCCGATTTAGTCTCCTAGTTTTGAATATGTTTTTCGGGTTGCATATGTTGAAATATCCTTTTAGTAGTCAAAATCCCATATCGCCTACCATTTTCGGTTCAATTGATCATCGCCTGCCGGTGAGTGATTTCGTCCAGGTTGCGAAACCCTGCAATCGATGATGCGTAGAATTAACTGCATTTATTGATAGAAGAAAAACTAAAATTGCCCAAAATAAACATATTTATTGGCATTAAAAGCATTAATCAGTATTTAGTACGCCTCCTGATGGTACAAACTACAGCCTCAACGCAACGTGTGATGAAGAAATACAACTGAAAAAAATGTTTTATCAGGTATGTTCCGCCATTTATTTTCACAATAAATCTAAAGCTCTTTCAATTTCTTTGGCTTTTCGTTATACACTCAAGCTTTCAACTCTCTACATATGTTCGATCATGTTAAGGTCAGGAATTTGGGCAGTCCAATCTTGTAACACTGCAATGTTTTCATCGGTGAGAAATTTGTTACACACGTTGTATGGAAAGGTGAGCCATCAGGTCGAAATATTTCAAAATCTTTTGTATCTCGTAACTGAACTTTAACAAAGTAATATATTTTAGCTGTCCAATGTCCCGTTGAACTTTATTAACTTTCTTGCACCATTTCTTTTGATGTAGCCCCAAACAATTAAGCACACTCTACTGAATGTTGTTTTTGTTGTATATTTTTGTTTGATTCTTGTATCAATTGGTGTTGGGACATTATTGCATTACAATTCAGTTCTATTTTAGAATCGTCACTGTATCTTTCTTTTCCCTCTTTTCCTAGTTCTAAATCAGATGTTCTTTGGCCAAGTTTTTTTGTCTTATGAGATGTTTTTGTTTAGCGATGTTTTTTTTTGTTGTTTTTTTACTGAAATGAATCCATTTAGATTACTTTTACGTAATGACCTTCTTATTGTATAAGTTGAAACTTTTTCAGTACTTCCGTTTTCATCCAATACTGCACAGTCTTAATTTTGTGTCGAATACTGATAACCTCATTAGCTTCCTTTCGTTTCTTGTGTAATTTTGAAGACCTACCAGTCTTTTTTTTCTTTTTCTTTTTTTCTTTTTTTTTTTCATATTCACTGATTCTTTGGGATATTTCGATAATTTTCTCTTTTACTCCAAAATCACTCTTCCCGTTTCGAAACTAAAATCAGCTACTCTAAAAAGACAAGTTGAAGGCTGCAGACATATAATCTACGCTTGATCTTTTATCAAGGAATTTGCCTACGTATCTTAATCTGGAATAATGTCAGTCCTGAGGAGTATCAAATGACTCATAACATTTGCAGGCCTTATTTTGAATATCACCATGCGTTCAATTCTGTATCTCCATTCGTGTTGTTTCCTGCGGATACAACAACTTGAATGACAGTCCTAGATGACCACAAATACTACACTTGAAAGTACATTCTCGAACACTTACAGCTACTTAGTAAAAACGAAGCAAATTTTTTTTTTCTAGTTGGTTTACTTATTTTGGTCGCCACTGTATAATGGAGCATTACTGTCATATTTGAACTGGAGCTATCCAGTCCTCATGTACCTGACTTGATTGGGTTAAAAACCGCCTACACAGCCTTGTGGGTGATGAATTTTCCATCCTGCAACCTTCTTCCACAGCCGAAAGTCTTGTCGCATTATGGTAAAGATTTCCATTCATTTTTACTTTCTAATATATTTTTTTTCTTTTTATGTAGATTAGCTAATACCAGAGTATCAGTTTTATTCATTTTACTTTTTCAAAATTAGTTTGCATCAAACTCATATGAGATGCCGTATGAATTCCAAAAATGACTTTTCAGTAACGGAAGCGGAAAGAAATATTTGTTTTGTCTATGAAAAAAAAAAAGCTTTAAATTTCCAGAAATGTTAACAACAATTTGGTTAGTTTCGACCGTGGAATTCTCCTCTTCAGAAATAGTTATCTGTGACTTATTTTTATTTACAAATGCCAAGTATTACGTCATTGACATCTGTATATTATTAAAATTGGGGAAAAGAACATCATCAGTAATAGGCAGTAATCAATTACGTTCTTTTGACAGTACTGTTCATCCTATTAAGTCACGGGGGCACTCGAGGTAGAGGGTTACGTTAGAAAGTACTTTATATGGATAGGAGAGAAAAATAACGGGTAACTCTGGACTTGAACAGGTTAAGAATGTAGTGATCGGGGAAGCATCCTCTTGGGAGTCTGTTCACGGGAAGAAGCTGTTTGAGTGGAACTTACTTCTCGCCGATGGAATACGGAGGGAATGTGGGTGGTCTGCTACAATGTATGTGGCATGGCGGGTACTAGTCGTGGAGGTTAAAACAGGCGGAACCAAGGAATGTAGTTACTTTCCATGGAAGTAACGATAAATATGGTAACAGTACTCCATTTTCGGTCTGATCTGTCTCTCGTAAAGCGTCAGGTACTTACTGGAGCGGTACAGACAGCCGACCATTTTACCTGAATCTCCAGCGATGGATCGTATATAAAAGTTCCAGTAGAGGTCGGGTATGAGTTCGAGCCCCAATATTCTCTTAAGGCATGGTACCTCCTCGGGAGGACATCCGTTCATCGTGACTGGCGGTAGTTCGGGGTCTGGTCGGCGGTGATGCCGTTATAAGCGAGGATCGTTCTCAAATGAAAAAAAAGGAATCAATATATATATATATATATATATATATATATATATATATATATATATATATTTGATTCTGGTAAAATCCGTGGGTAGAGGAAGATGTAACGAATGCTAATCTACAAAGACTGCACAAAAAAAATTGTTTCAAGTTTTTATTTTGTTAATTTTTTTGCGGACCAGTAAATTGAAGTAGTTCTAACTGTAATTTTTTTTTCTAACGACTCTATAACTGCTTCATTATACTTAGACAATTTTTAAATGTAAATATTTAAGCTTATACGGAGGCAGTGTGTTGAAATATTGAGCAACGATAGTCTTCATTACACAAATAAAAAATAGTTCGACAAGACAAGCTTTCAAACGGTGAAATCGTATTATACGTCTTATGTATTTATCACGTTTGTAGGCAAACCTGTATTTGCATTGCACATGTGTATATAAGCGTAGATATGTATATAAAGTCTCTTCTTTGTGGACTTTGGTGTGGTGCACCTATGCGATTACGCGTGGGAGGTACATGCGTATAAGTGCATATTATTGCTCCTGTAAGTGTAAGTTGCTATGTCAACTGTTCTTTAAATAGGAAATCCCACATAAGATGTTACATACCAAAAGCAACATCAGCGCATACACGCAGTCGTTAAAACTACTTTGGTTGAGTAGGCAAGCGCCGACCAGATCGTATGTCTAGAAAAGGAATGATATTTCATACAGAAAGGAAGACGTACTTAATGTTGCACAAGTCACTTGTCGATGCAAATATTTACGAAGCACGATGTTTATTGCCTGACATTTCATGTATCTTAAGACTCATCGGAAAATTATTCGTGGAAAAGCCTTACCTGTTAATGACAACCAGCAAGAAAAACACAAGCTTTTCGGTCGACTGATTTGTTTTTGGTTTTTTTGGGGGATGGGGGTTTACGGCTTAACCTTTTGTAGGTTATTTAAAGCCATCAAATATTCTTGGATTTTAAGATTTTTTTTATTTTATTTTGAGATAATTATTTCCTGATACAAAATCCAAAGGTATTTACACATGTGAATATAACAAACCCGACTGTAATGGATTTCGGCCACGAATTGGAAATCAGTGAGCAGGATTCCAATCCCGAGTCAAAATCGATTACACCGCCCGCACATCCAAGCTTACAGCACGTGATATTTCCAAATGGTCACACATCTCGGTGCTGACCAGGCTCGACCTTGCTTAACTTCGTTAATAGGACGAGAACTGGTGTTTCACACAAGCTTTTCGAATTTATATTTACAAATCGTGACCCTCATATATTGATCTTCTAGATTTACAACGTTTGATCCTATTTTAATAATTATATATAATATTTTTCTATCCTTTTGTCTTCTGATAACGTTGACTCTGCTACTAACAAGATTTTGTTGTTACTGTTTAGTCAGGTAAGGTAATTTTAGGAGAATAGTTTTGTAAGACCCGCTTTCATCCGTCACATGTTTTGACATGCCAGTAACGGCACGTTTTTCTATATTTCTGATGATGGGACAGATCGGAAAGAGAGGATGATTTGTGGTAAATTTGCATCCAACTTCATTTCACCTAAACATATCTACTGCTTTCACACTGTGAGATATTAAAAAAAAACAATAGTGAAAAAGTAAGAGAAAAATTCTTTGGAAGCTGAGTGAATCCTGCTAGACATAACATACGTCTAGATACATTAGGCGCCACTATTCAAAGTTTACCGTCCCTGCAACTTCAGTGTTTCCTCTCGACGTATAATAATAACCAACGGTTGTTTACATTTTCACCTTTCCCCATATATACATACATATATATATATATATATATATATATATATATATATATATATATATATATATATATATATATATGAAAATATATAGAAAATAGGAAGGAACTGGTTAGGTAAATAATCCAAAGTCCCTTAGTATTTTAGTTATTATTTTTTTAAAAAATAGTGCTCGATACAAAAGTAGAGCATAAATATAATTATTTATTTAAAAATATGATTCCAAATCGCTACATAAGAGGTCTCATGTTTCAAAACTAGAGCTGAAGTTTAAAGGATTATAATGAAGTTTTCGGCTCTAGTTTTGAAACATGAGACCTCTTATGTAACGATTTGGAATCATATTTTAAATAAATAAATATATATATATATATATATATATATATATATATATTTGTTTGAATAAAGACAGACCACGTTAAGACTCCATGTAATAAGCTATTTCACCATAACCCTTTAACAGGGTTCTGGATAATCAGACTTTACTTCCAAAAGCTGAAATGAATTTCAGCTTTTTGAAGTAAAAGTCAGATGATCCAGAACCTTTACTTCCAATGGAGTCTTAACGTGGTCTGTCTTTTATTCAAACAAATATATATATATATATATATATATATATATATATATATATATATATATATAAGAGAGAGAGAGAGATTTTATATATCATATTTTTGTCTCAGAAGTTGATTTATACCTTTTCCGGGGTTGTCATAATGATTGGCATAATAGAATAGTAGACAAAATTGGAATTATATATATATATATATAGAGAGAGAGAGATAAATCAAACGACCAGATGTAAGCAAACGTACAAGGGCATGCAGGTGTGCTTACGCGGGCAAGCAGATAAATCGTCATCAAATTTATACATGAGTTGTAAACATAAAAGTGCTCGATGTGGTTAAACAGAGAAAATATATATATTAATTAGTACATATACGTGTAACTACGTGTTAGTGTGCGACTTAAGTTTCGCTGAATTACAGCTCGTCCGGCACAAAGTCTATGTTGGTGAAAGTAAAAAAAAAAATGTTTATAGCATTGTGTATGTGTATATATGTATGTATGTGTATATATCAATAAATCTTTAAAAAAATTCAGTTATTCTGTTTTGACTAGTCTTATGTCTATCGTCTTTTTATGTTGACTTGAATATCGTCTAATTTTAATTATGTTTTAATGACTATGTCCTGAAGAAGGTATACTAGACCGAAACGTCTGACGTCGTCATTGAAACAACATTAAAACAGCATACTTGCATATTCGGATTTTTGTTTTTTCATATATTTCACACACACACACACACACACACACACACACATATATATATATACACATATATATATATACATATATATATATATATACACACATATATATATAAATACGCACATATATATATATATATATATATATATATATATATATATATATATATATATATATACACATATATATATATATACATACATACATATATATACACACATGTATATATATGCGCACACACACACATATATATATATAATATTCGCAGTACTTAGTGGAAAGTCCTCAACAGCAGTAATAGAACTAACATATTCAGTTTTATAGATGTGTGTTTGTGTGAGTTTGAGTGCATGCACCTGTGTGTATGTGTGTCTATGTATGTGAGAGTGTCATCTCAAACAAACACAGAAGAAACCCCCCCTCCTACCACCAAACATAATCAAACACAAATAAGCACAAATAGACCCATTTTTTAAAAAGCGTGAAACCCAGGTTCTCAAACTAATATCCATACAACTGAATATATATATATATATATATATATATATATATATAAAACGAATTGTGTCTCAAAACATGTACCAATATTCATTTATACACACACACACACATATATATATATATATATATATATATATATATATATATATATAATATTGAATGCTGACACATGATTCGAGACTTCTATTTCATCTGCCAAGGATTTACATTGACTTAATTTTTTTTTCTAAGCATAACTGTAAGAGTACAAAATACACTTGTAACGGACAATAATTCAAAATTCTTGTAAAGAAAAATTTAGTAATTCTTATTTCTAAGAAATGTTATAGATGTGTGTTACTAAAAATGTTTATTTACTCCACAATCTATTTTTAAATTTGCAATAGTGCATCATTTCTAAGGAATTTCTCGAGTAACTACTAAATGGAGTTCTTTTTGTCATTCGTAACAGTACAACCTCTCCAACCTTTTTTCTGGGATACGGACAGTTATATAAGTTATCACATATTTATTTATAAAAATAAGAAAGATTTTAAAGAAAAACAAAAACAAATTTATACCCGCGACTAACGATATTTCTTTATATCCTGTAGAGTTAAAGTTTTGACACTTCCCAAAAAATTACAATTGTGGAAATTTCATGGCATATTTTAAATTAATTTCTGATCAAGGAATATTTGCTGCAGTTGTCGGTATCGAGCGAATGTAATTTTCAAAAACAAATTTAAGAAAATAACCTCCGTTTGATATGTGAAAGTGCACCTTTCCAAAGCGGAAATTCCTTTCTAAATATTCTCAGTTGAAATCGGAATCCATTTTATTCATTCCCCAGACCAACATTTAAATTGTTTCCTTGAAGAATGGAAATTTTGTATTCACATCAATGTTGTTGTTGAGATGATGAACGAATGATATTCTCTATCGGACAACTGATTTAAGCTAACAATCTTGCAGACGATTGTCTCAATGACGTCATTGATAAGATTATTTCAGATATTAACAGTGCATTAGACCTTAGCTTTTCGCACCATCGTTATAACCATACCAAACTATCTTGTTCCCGAGAAAGACATATGGATCTATTTGTATCAACTCTTAGGTAATTTACTTCTACACTGAATGAGTCTAAGGATCTGAAAGAAGCGCTGTTCTTGAAGTCTATTTCGCCAGCTGGGGACGCTGTAATTGTGTAAACAATTCTGAATTCTTTCGGCTTCCTTCTTCATTTTTATGTTTTTTTTCCGAACGTGGGAATGGGTGACAGATAGATAATAATTACAAACAAGGCAGGATTTTTGCTACTGCAACTGAGAATGAAAGAAAAGAAATATGCATAATGTCCTTACCAAAGAAATAATCTTGTAGTTATGTTGTATAGGAGTAATGTTAAATGGTCTGATTTTTTTTTTTCTTCAGTATCGTTAGTCATCAACTTGGCCTTGTTAACTATAACTATGACTTAACTGGCCATGTGGATACGATTTGAAGACTGGACAAGAACAAAAAAAAAACAAAAACACCACTGGCTCTTCTGTGTAGGCGTACAAACAGCTCATTTATTAAACAGAACGTCACCTGAACCTCGCAACATCTATTTTCATTTATTTATATTTGATTATCGGGAAGAGTCTGGAATTAATTTAAAAATAAATAGACCTCCCATTACTACTACAGTGTAACCCGGATATAAGAGAGTTGTCGGGACCGGAGAAGAAGTCTCTTATATCCAGGTTTCTCTTATATCCGGGTTTGGTCTATTTTATATACATTAACACAGGCTCTAATTTGGGACCAGAGAAAATCTCTCTTATATCCGGGTTTCTCTTATATCCGGGTTTGGTCTATTTTATATACATTAACACAGGCTCTAATTTGGAACCAGAGACAATCTCTCTTATATCCGGGTTTCTCTTATATCCGGGTTTGGTCTATTTTATATACATTAACACAGGCTCTAATTTGGGACCAGAGAAAATCTCTCTTATATCCGAGTTTCTCTTATATCCGGGTTTGGTCTATTGTATATACATTAACACAGGCTCTAATTTGGGAACAGAGAAAATCTCTCTTATATCCGGGTTTCTCTTATATCCGGGTTTGGTCTATTGTATATACATTAACACAGGCTCTAATTTGGGAACAGAGAAAATCTCTCTTATATCCGGGTTTCTCTTATATCCGGGTTTGATCTATTGTATATACATTAACACAGGCTCTAATTTGGGACCAGAGAAAATCTCTCTTATATCCGGGTTTCTCTTATATCCGGGTTTGGTCTATTTTATATACATTAACACAGGCTCTAATTTGGGGAACAGAAAATCTCTCTTATATCCGGATTTCTCTTATATCCGGGTTTGGTCTATTTTATATACATTAACACAGGCTCTAATTTGGGACCAGAGAAAATCTCTCTTATATCCGGGTTTCTCTTATATCCGGGTTTGGTCTATTGTATATACATTAACACAGGCTCTAATTTGGGAACAGAGAAAATCTCTCTTATATCCGGGTTTCTCTTATATCCGGGTTTGGTCTATTGTATATACATTAACACAGGCTCTAATTTGGGACCAGAGAAAATTTCTCTTATATCCGGGTTTCTCTTATATCCGGGTTTTGTATATACATTAACACAGGCTCTAATTTGGGACCAGAGAAAATCTCTCTTATATCCGGGTTTCTCTTATAT